TGCTCAATAGTAGTTACATACTTACATCAAACTTAACTTACAAAAGCCCATATTACAGATTACGATGAAAAAAGGAAGCTAAACATGATAACAAAATTAATATTGGAAGACAATGAGGAGCTAAATTTAATACCAAATACTTGGTGCGATTTCGTGATAGAGACTGGTCACGACCAGTTCCTTTGAGCAGCACACTAAGCACGCCGTTCTCCTCCACCCAACTGTGTCACTGGAGGAGCTTTTTCAACACCCGCCACAGCTTTTTCCTATGGATGGAGCGCAAGCTTTTACCCCTGTGTTGCAAGCTTCCAATCCCTCGCTTCAGGCAATAGCTAGGTTTATTGTTAGCCAATATGATTCCCTTTGTTTCCCTCACCTTCGTGGAGTATTTCACCACGTCCTCATTGTTTCCATGGGGATTTCTTGGAGCTTTTCGTTTGGATTTCTTTGGTAACTTGACTTCTTCAACTTGACTTTCAGGTTCAATTACCGATTCTTCTACCATATTCAGACAAGCAAGGTGAAGCTACCCATTAACTGAACAATTCCTTTGCAGCTGCCAGATAGAATACATAAAAACCCTAGGAGTGCGTTTGATTGCAATCATGGAACTTGCATGGAAAGAAAATATTTTCTAGGTAATTCAATTGCTTATAAATTATTTCTGAGGAACTTATTAATTATGTGTTTGATTGACTTCATTTTCCACTTGGAAAATGTTGCAATTTTCATCTTTTGGTGTTTGATATCCATTATTTTCCATGGAAATGATCATTTTTTCCAACTTTAGTTGTTTGACAACCACTTTTTCCATGGAAATTGGCAATCAATTCATAGAAACACTAAACAATGGAATCTTCATAATTTAGTTGATATTGCATGCACACCATGATTATGATCTTTAAAGAAGTCATATTTCGACGATAAGGTGACAGAAAATAATAAAATTTATAACAAATAAGGAAAAAGGTCTCACCAATTCAGATTTCTACTCATATACATGAATTAATTATTCTTAATTCCAATCAAAAGTAATTATAAGATAATCAAATAATCAATTCAATAAATAATGATCAGATTTTGTCCAATGTATAACATGAATAAAAAATAACCAAAAAAAATCTCTATTGTAAGAACAATTGAAATCGACATAGATATCATACTTCTACATATGTTTGTCAAATTATCCAAGCAAATCATCTTAAAGTAGTGGAGGCGGATCACGACCAATATTCTCAAATACTAAATCACGTATGAATTGTTAATCAATCAAGCCCATAAATACTCTAGCTAAAACTCTCATCCGATCAAAATACTTTCATGAGTTGCATTATGTCATGCTTGTCTATGTTAATGCATTGTAATTTTTCAAGAACCAATTGCCAATTGATATGGTTTAGCATATCCAATGTCACTTCAATCTCCATAGCATTAGCAATTTTTTTAGACGATTCGGCAATACTCGATAGGGCAACGAGCCTAGCTTGATCCTCCAGGAGTATTTAAAAAATAGCCACTTGTTCCTCAATTTGGACATATTTACTATCATCCAATCCATAAGTTAACGAGCACATAATCTTTGAAACGAACCTATATTCATCCTAAGCAGATCATGACATGTCGTATCACTCGTACCAAACATTTGTGTAAGCGTCATTTCTCGTTTAGAATCCGAATTTATATGAAGAGCTCTAGGGAGATGTTGTTCACGACGCCTAATATCATTATGACCCTATTTGACCCACATTCTTTCCAAAAAAAAAAATAAATTCTTAAACAATGATTTGATATTATTTCAACCACACATTCTTCAATAAAATAATATTACACGCACATCCAAAACTTTTTTATTTTTTAACCACGCATTTTCGATCAATACATTATTATGGAAATAATGTGGCTCAAACAAGGGCTATTTATCACAATCGCTTGCATGACCATCGTCCAAAATAAACCTAATTATTGTCGTTGGCGTCGACGTTAATTCCTTGTTGTAGTCATGTTATGATACTGATCTTTGTTTCGGTTTAAGGCACCCTTGTATTAAGCTAAATCTAAGAAACACAAACATACAACCTGTTTGGGAGTGATTTTTTGGCCCAAAAAATTAATTTTTTTGACCGTTATTTCATTATTATAGCCATCATATTTGACTTCTTCTCCCATAGGTGGACCCCACTTTTTTCCTAACGATCAAAAAATCAATTATCAAAATCACTCCCAAACAGGCTCATAATGTTAGAAGTTTCGAATATAATTCTGCACTTAAGTTTTTAAGGTGTAAATATGAGGTATAATCTAAAAAGAAAAATAAGTTGAGATTTTGATCGGATGACTCTCCCATGTCATCTAATATTAGGTATCAAACATTTAGTAATAGAGTAGACAAATGCAGCAAAATTATAATCATGTAGAAAACAATGTTAAATGTTACCCCCATTGAGAGAAGTACCCTGCTAAAGTGGAAGGGCTTAAGAAATCCAATCTTGTATCTTCTTTGACAATGTACAATAAGGGCTAAAATAACATAAATTTAGCTCAAATATCACAATTATAAACCCAGAAAGCTTCAAATTTTAAAAGCATTTCTCTCCAAAATCAAGTCTTGAGCATATTCCTCAACAGAATATACAAGGAAAAGTAGATTAAACTGCAGAAGGGTAAAAATGAAGAAAAAGCAGACCCCGAGAACTAAAAAAAAAAAAAAAAAACTGAAATCCCCAAGAATTCGAACTATGTTGGAAAAATAGTAAACGAAAAACCCAATGTGAATGAAGGTTTGACCTACTAAACAAACATCTGAATCATGAACAATTAGAAGGTGAACGAAATGAGATCAGAGATCTATATCTCGGAAAAACAAATTCTAGAAAAAGCCCAAGTCTACAGTATGTAGATACAAATATGTGTATTCAATATCAGACCCAAGAATTAAGAGAATTTTACAAACTGAATATAAGCAAATCAAGATGAAAAAACATAGACATCGCCTATTCTAGCACACAATAACAATCACAGAGGATACGGCGGTAAAATGAACCTGAATGAATGCGATCAAAGCCTCGTTGTCGAACTTTTGCAGTGAATACGGCGGATTTGGAAGCGGTGATTCGTTTAGGTCTTCGGTTTCCTCTTCCTTCTTCCTGGTTTAGCTGTGTGAGTAATTGGTTTCTTCTCCGTTCTTTCTGGTTTGTTGTTGGAGTAGATGAAAGAGGACAAGGATTTTGTACGTGGGTTAGAGAGAGAGGGTACGCGAGTGCTTAGTAGAGACTTTTAGAAAACTTTGAATTCGGAAGATAAAATCCTACTTATCCATAGAAACTATTTTCTAACTGTTAAGGAAAATATAATCACATCATAAAAATAAAAGATAGAGAAAATTATCAATCAAACAAAGTAAAAGTTTGACCTTTAGTTGATCCAATTAATTGACTTTGACATTTAGTTGATCCAATTAATTGACTTTAGTTGAAGGTTAAGGTAAGGTATGTGAAAAGGTAAAAGGTGAGGACCGATATTGCAATTATCCATAATTTTAAATAAAAATAGGAGAAATAATTATTTTAAATCAAATTGCCTTTTTAAGAAGTATAGTATGCTTTCGTTGAGAGTCGAACTGAAGACCTCTTGCTTACTAAACAAGTGCTCTAAGCGAGCTAAGAAAGTTATCGATACATTAAAAATAAGGGTGCATTTTATTGCAAATATAGAAAGAAAATAAATTCTAGATAATTTGGTTGTCTATAATTAATTTGCATGAAAATTATCAATTAAATGTGTTTGATTATTTTAATTTTCACCATAAAAAAATTATACTTTTTACCTCTCGTTACACGTGGCTCTACATGGTGATCCATTGTAGCCCTTAGCCTACTCAACTCGAAGTACATTGCATAGTGGTCGAGGTCTCGAAGCCAATGAGAAATGCAATGAAGTCAACACTTCAACTGAGACTCAACATCATGAAGTTCGAAAACCATTGACCAGGTGGGCAAGTCTGAGGCCCCTATGTCGAAGCGCAGATGAAGAATGCAATGCAGTCAACGCTTCAACCGAGACTTAGCATCATGAAGTCCGAAGACCATAGACCAGATGGGCAAGTCCGAGGCCCTATGCTGAAGCTTAAGCCTTCGAAGCACCTTATTATATCATATTCTTCCAAGAGATCTGTTTTTCACGAGTATTTTTTTCGAATGACTGATGAGACGTTTATCATAGAGTTTAAGTGTCAAATCTTATCAAATGAAGTGTGCGGCTCTGTACAGTTAATAAATGCATAGTAGGCTAGCAAATTAAAAGTGATGCCTATGATTAGATATGTGAATTAAAGAGATGAGATCGCGTGTACTCCTATCCAAGGATCGCTATTCAATTTGTACCACTATAAATACTTTTCCATATAACTCCTGTAGGACTAATGCAACTTTAAATACAAAAACACTACATATCATTTTACTCTCTTGCAAATGCAACCGAGTTTACATAACATTCATTTGCTTCAATTGGTAATTATGGTATGATCATCCTAAAAACGTTTTACTGGATTTCGAACTTTATCCTCTCATGTTGAAGAGCTACTCCCACACCTTGTCCTTTAAAGGGTTCGTGACCGTCGGTTTGTTGTAGAGTGTTGGAATTAGCTCACGTGTACGCGAGTGAAATTGACATCTGTTGTCTGCGTGACTCTAACTTAAAACGAGGTCAATAGGACTTATCCAATTTTTATTGGTGAATAAATGAAAAAGAGTGGATAAATAAGAGAAAGAGAATTCCCTAGAAAATAAAATGCCACTCTCCCTAAATAAATAATGTCGCGTGATCAAAAGTAGAAAAATGTTTTATATGGAAAAAAGTTAGTCAAACAGCACAAAAGTAGACAATTTAGTGAAAAAAACACATTTTTCATGAAAAATATTGACAATCAAATGCACCTAAGTTAATTTTTAAAATCAATTAATTAGTCAACATTATCTATAGCTTAGCAAACACGGTCTTCTTAGAGAGTGCCGGTCCAACAAGCCACGATTCCACATGATCCACCGAACTCACTTTCCGTTACTAGAGTCTCTTTCTGGGTTCCAATCCACTGAATTTGATTCTGTTCATATTAATCACTCGAATCACTAGCTTCTCAAATTTTGAAGTTAAATACTAATCGATTATGGATAGTGAAAACGCATCTCGGAGCCCCGAGTTTCCGGCGGACTTGAAGTATCAATCGGGCTTCGGGAACCATTTCTCGTCGGAGGCTATCGCCGGAGCTCTCCCTCTCAATCAGAACAGTCCTCTCGTCTGTCCTTACGGCCTCTACGCGGAGCAGATCTCCGGCACCTCCTTCACTTCCCCTCGCAAACTCAACCAGCGCAGGTTAATGCTTTGAAGAATCTATCTGTTTAAATTTTTGATGATTTTGAATGTGATCTATTCTGAGAAATTTTTGTTTTGGCAGTTGGTTATATCGGGTTAAGCCATCAGTTACTCATGAGCCATTTAAGCCTAGGGTCCCCAGTCACGGGAAGCTTGTGAGTGAATTTAATGAATCAAATAGTTCTGCAACTCCAACTCAGCTACGGTGGAAACCGGTGGAAGTTCCTAAAGCGCCGATTGATTTCATTGACGGATTATACACTCTTTGTGGCGCTGGCAGCTCGTATCTTCGGCATGGTTTTGCAATTCACATGTAATTGGTATTCCTGGTTTTACTTTACTGTTTTGCGATTTCGTGCAATCGTATTAAAACAAATTTGAGGTTATTAGGTGTATAGAGGTCAACTTTTATTTTAAATTTATCAACTTTATGTTCCATTAATCAACTATTCCATAGACTAAGATTTTTTTCCCTATTGCATCACATAGTTGTTGTGTATTTCCATTATTTTGTTATGGGCACAGATGATAGTCTTCAATCAAGTTCTGTTATGGCCTTGTGGCCAAAGGAAGTCCTATAAGCATGGGACTGGTTTATGTCTTAGCAGCCAACCTTGCGTAGAAAGCTATTAGCTCAAACCATTGTGCCGTATGTCCATCCATATCCATCTAATGTTATCAGTTAATGATTTTTTGATTTTAGACTTCATTTATTCTATTCTGGTCACCCTGGTTACGAGTCAACTAGACTTGCTCCAACTTCACAAAGATCTACCCCTTGGGGATTTTGTGCTTTAATATTCCATAGCAGGTTATTTCCACAGTTTGTTTGTTCTACAATTATTTATAATGTGCTGATTAAGTTCTATGGTTGCGCACGTTCCAAGTGCCTACATAGTTCTGCTATTCCTGAGAGCCACTAGGGGCAAAACACTGTATTGTAATACTTTCATGAGTTGCATTATGTCATGCTTGTCTATGTTAATGCATTGTAATTTTTCAAGAACCAATTGCCAATTGATATGGTTTAGCATATCCAATGTCACTTCAATCTCCATAGCATTAGCAATTTTTTTAGACGATTCGGCAATACTCGATAGGGCAACGAGCCTAGCTTGATCCTCCAGGAGTATTTAAAAAATAGCCACTTGTTCCTCAATTTGGACATATTTACTATCATCCAATCCATAAGTTAACGAGCACGTAATCTTTGAAACGAACCTATATTCATCCTAAGCAGATCATGACATGTCGTATCACTCGTACCAAACATTTGTGTAAGCGTCATTTCTCGTTTAGAATCCGAATTTATATGAAGAGCTCTAGGGAGATGTTGTTCACGACGCCTAATATCATTATGACCCTATTTGACCCACATTCTTTCCAAAAAAAAAATAAATTCTTAAACAATGATTTGATATTATTTCAACCACACATTCTTCAATAAAATAATATTACACGCACATCCAAAACTTTTTTATTTTTTAACCACGCATTTTCGATCAATACATTATTATGGAAATAATGTGGCTCAAACAAGGGCTATTTATCACAATCGCTTGCATGACCATCGTCCAAAATAAACCTAATTATTGTCGTTGGCGTCGACGTTGATTCCTTGTTGTAGTCATGTTATGATACTGATCTTTGTTTCGGTGTAAGGCACCCTTGTATTAAGCTAAATCTAAGAAACACAAACATACAGCCTGTTTGGGAGTGATTTTTTGGCCCAAAAAATTAATTTTTTGACCGTTATTTCATTATTATAGCCATCATATATGACTTCTTCTCCCATAGGTGGACCCCACTTTTTTCCTAACGATCAAAAAATCAATTATCAAAATCACTCCCAAACAGGCTCATAATGTTAGAAGTTTCGAATATAATTCTGCACTTAAGTTTTTAAGGTGTAAATATGAGGTATAATCTAAAAAGAAAAATAAGTTGAGATTTTGATCAGATGACTCTCCCATGTCATCTAATATTAGGTATCAAACATTTAGTAATAGAGTAGACAAATGCAGCAAAATTATAATCATGTAGAAAACAATGTTAAATGTTACCCCCATTGAGAGAAGTACCCTGCTAAAGTGGAAGGGCTTAAGAAATCCAATCTTGTATCTTCTTTGACAATGTACAATAAGGGCTAAAATAACATAAATTTAGCTCAAATATCACAATTATAAACCCAGAAAGCTTCAAATTTTAAAAGCATTTCTCTCCAAAATCAAGTCTTGAGCATATTCCTCAACAGAATATACAAGGAAAAGTAGATTAAACTGCAGAAGGGTAAAAATGAAGAAAAAGCAGACCCCGAGAACTAAAAAAAAAAAAAAAAACTGAAATCCCCAAGAATTCGAACTATGTTGGAAAAATAGTAAACGAAAAACCCAATGTGAATGAAGGTTTGACCTACTAAACAAACATCTGAATCATGAACAATTAGAAGGTGAACGAAATGAGATCAGAGATCTATATCTCGGAAAAACAAATTCTAGAAAAAGCCCAAGTCTACAGTATGTAGATACAAATATGTGTATTCAATATCAGACCCAAGAATTAAGAGAATTTTACAAACTGAATATAAGCAAATCAAGATGAAAAAACATAGACATCGCCTATTCTAGCACACAATAACAATCTCAGAGGATACGGCGGTAAAATGAACCTGAATGAATGCGATCAAAGCCTCGTTGTCGAACTTTTGCAGTGAATACGGCGGATTTGGAAGCGGTGATTCGTTTAGGTCTTCGGTTTCCTCTTCCTTCTTCCTGGTTTAGCTGTGTGAGTAATTGGTTTCTTCTCCCTTCTTTCTGGTTTGTTGTTGGAGTAGATGAAACAGGACAAGGATTTTGTACGTGGGTTAGAGAGAGAGGGTACGCGAGTGCTTAGTAGAGACTGTTAGAAAACTTTGAATTCGGAAGATAAAATCCTACTTATCCATAGAAACTATTTTCTAACTGTTAAGGAAAATATAATCACATCATAAAAATAAAAGATAGAGAAAATTATCAATCAAACAAAGTAAAAGTTTGACCTTTAGTTGATCCAATTAATTGACTTTGACCTTTAGTTGATCCAATTAATTGATTTTAGTTGAAGGTTAAGGTCAGGTATGTGAAAAGGTAAAAGGTGAGGACCGATATTGCAATTATCCATAATTTTAAATAAAAATAGGAGAAATAATTATTTTAAATCAAATTGCCTTTTTAAGAAGTATAGTATGCTTTCGTTGAGAGTCGAACTGAAGACCTCTTGCTTACTAAACAAGTGCTCTAAGCGAGCTAAGAAAGTTATCGATACATTAAAAATAAGGGTGCATTTTATTGCAAGTATAGAAAGAAAATAAATTCTAGATAATTTGGTTGTCTATAATTAATTTGCATGAAAATTATCAATTAAATGTGTTTGATTATTTTAATTTTCACCATAAAAAAAATATACTTATTACCTCTCGTTACACGTGGCTCTACATTGTGATCCATTGTAGCCCTTAGCCTACTCAACTCGAAGTACATTGCATAGTGGTCGAGGTCTCGAAGCCAATGAGAAATGCAATGAAGTCAACGCTTCAACCGAGACTCAACATCATGAAGTTCGAAAACCATTGACCAGGTGGGCAAGTCTGAGGCCCCTATGTCGAAGCGCCGATGAAGAATGCAATGCAGTCAACGCTTCAACCGAGACTTAGCATCATGAAGTCCGAAGACCATAGACCAGATGGGCAAGTCCGAGGCCCTATGCTGAAGCTTAAGCCTTCGAAGCACCTTATTATATCATATTCTTCCAAGAGATCTGTTTTTCACGAGTATTTTTTTCGAATGACTGATGAGACGTTTATCATAGAGTTTTAAGTGTCAAATCTTATCAAATGAAGTGTGCGGCTCTGTACAGTTAATAAATGCATAGTAGGCTAGCAAATTAAAAGTGATGCCTATGATTAGATATGTGAATTAAAGAGATGAGATCGCATGTACTCCTATCCAAGGATCGCTATTCAATTTGTACCACTATAAATACTTTTCCATATAACTCCTGTAGGACTAATGCAACTTTAAATACAAAAACACTACATATCATTTTACTCTCTTGCAAATGCAACCGAGTTTACATAACATTCATTTGCTTCAATTGGTAATTATGGTATGATCATCCTAAAAACGTTTTACTGGATTTCGAACTTTATCCTCTCATGTTGAAGAGCTACTCCCACACCTTGTCCTTTAAAGGGTTCGTGACCGTCGGTTTGTTGTAGAGTGTTGGAATTAGCTCACGTGTACGCGAGTGAAATTGACATCTGTTGTCTGCGTGACTCTAACTTAAAACGAGGTCAATAGGACTTATCCAATTTTTATTGGTGAATAAATGAAAGAGAGTGAATAAATAAGAGAAAGAGAATTCCCTAGAAAATAAAATGCCACTCTCCCTAAATAAATATTGTCGCGTGATCAAAAATAGAAAAATGTTTTATATGGAAAAAAGTTAGTCAAACAGCACAAAAGTAGACAATTTAGTGAAAAAAACACATTTTTCATGAAAAATATTGACAATCAAATGCACCTAAGTTAATTTTTAAAATCAATTAATTAGTCAACATTATCTATAGCTTAGCAAACACGGTCTTCTTAGAGAGTGCCGGTCCAACAAGCCACGATTCCACCTGATCCACCGAACTCACTTTCCGTTACTAGAGTCTCTTTCTGGGTTCCAATCCACTGAATTTGATTCTGTTCATATTAATCACTCGAATCACTAGCTTCTCAAATTTTGAAGTTAAATACTAATCGATTATGGATAGTGAAAACGCATCTCGGAGCCCCGAGTTTCCGGCGGACTTGAAGTATCAATCGGGCTTCGGGAACCATTTCTCGTCGGAGGCTATCGCCGGAGCTCTCCCTCTCAATCAGAACAGTCCTCTCGTCTGTCCTTACGGCCTCTACGCGGAGCAGATCTCCGGCACCTCCTTCACTTCCCCTCGCAAACTCAACCAGCGCAGGTTAATGCTTTGAAGAATCTATCTGTTTAAATTTTTGATGATTTTGAATGTGATCTATTCTGAGAAATTTTTGTTTTGGCAGTTGGTTATATCGGGTTAAGCCATCAGTTACTCATGAGCCATTTAAGCCTAGGGTCCCCAGTCACGGGAAGCTTGTGAGTGAATTTAATGAATCAAATAGTTCTGCAACTCCAACTCAGCTACGGTGGAAACCGGTGGAAGTTCCTAAAGCGCCGATTGATTTCATTGACGGATTATACACTCTTTGTGGCGCTGGCAGCTCGTATCTTCGGCATGGTTTTGCAATTCACATGTAATTGGTATTCCTGGTTTTACTTTACTGTTTTGCGATTTCGTGCAATCGTATTAAAACAAATTTGAGGTTATTAGGTGTATAGAGGTCAACTTTTATTTTAAATTTATCAACTTTATGTTCCATTAATCAACTATTCCATAGACTAAGATTTTTTTCCCTATTGCATCACATAGTTGTTGTGTATTTCCATTATTTTGTTATGGGCACAGATGATAGTCTTCAATCAAGCTCTGTTATGGCCTTGTGGCCAAAGGAAGTCCTATAAGCATGGGACTGGTTTATGTCTTAGCAGCCAACCTTGCATAGAAAGCTATTAGCTCAAACCATTGTGCCGTATGTCCATCCATATCCATCTAATGTTATCAGTTAATGATTTTTTGATTTTAGACTTCATTTATTCTATTCTGGTCACCCTGGTTACGAGTCAACTAGACTTGCTCCAACTTCACAAAGATCTACCCCTTGGGGATTTTGTGCTTTAATATTCCATAGCAGGTTATTTCCACAGTTTGTTTGTTCTACAATTATTTATAATGTGCTGATTAAGTTCTATGGTTGCGCACGTTCCAAGTGCCTACATAGTTCTGCTATTCCTGAGAGCCACTAGGGGCAAAACACTGTATTGTAGCGTCCTGCTATGATGGGCTATGTTGCTGCTTGATAGGATTAAAGAAAGCAATAAAAAGAGATTTGATTTCTGGATTGAGATGAATTATAAATTATGATGTGCATGTTAATGCTAAGAACTTGTTCTTATTTTTAACAAGTGTCAAGCAAAAATATGTATCTCAGCATTATTACCAAAATACTAGAGCTTCAATACTTTCTTGGAACTGGAGTTATTTCTATCTTTTTTGGTTAATGGAGCTTCCTTGATTGACATGTCAAAATTCTTAATGCTATTGTTCTTGATGTTAGTATGAAAGTGAATGATATTGTGTATGTATGCAATCTTTAAGCTGACGATCGAACTTGTAAATGCAGGTATGCTGCTAACAAATCAATGGACAATTGTGCGTTCTGCAGTGCTGATGGTGACTTTTTGCTTGTTCCCCAAGAAGGAAGTAAGTGGTGCCAAATATATGCAACTTCACCTTTTTTGCACTAGTTGTGTTTGCCATTTTTATTGAGCTTGAAGATAGTTGTTTGATAAATAGAATCTGCTTAGCTTTGTTAGATGTTGCAATTTTTAGAAGGCAGCTAATGATTTCCTTCATAATTTTAGAATATCTCGTCTATTTCAAAAACCTGTTAACTCTGTTCATGCATTTGTCTACATTGCGTTTCTTACTCTCCTATTCCTACCAGTTTACCTCATGGCAAGTCCCTTTTTGCTTTACATCTGGGATTTAGCCAAATCATTAAATACACACCATTTTGTTTTTATGGTTGTCTTGTGCTTTATATTTACTGATTTGGAACCCCTATTTCTCTATTGCCCTTATTTAGGGCTGTGGATAACAACTGAATTCGGAAAATTGCAAGTATCTCCTGGTGAGGTAGTAGTTTTACCTCAAGGGGTGCGGTTTGTTGTTGAGCTACCAGATGGACCATCACGCGGCTATGTTGCTGAAATATTTGGAACTCATTTTCAACTCCCTGATCTTGGACCTATAGGTGAATCAAAAAGTTCAAGTTCTTTATTTTCCTCTAGCATATTTCATCAGGCCACCAAACCAAAAAATTAATTTTATTGTATCCATGGTGTGTATTTCATTTGTATAGGGGCTAATGGTCTTGCTTCTCCAAGGGACTTTCTCGTTCCTGTGGCCTGGTTCGACCAGAGCTCCCATCCCGGTTATGTGATTGTTCAGAAGTTTGGCGGTGAACTCTTTACTGCAAAACAAGATTTCTCCCCATTCAATGTAGTAGCGTGGCATGGAAATTATGTACCTTATAAGGTGAGCATTTTTACTTTTTAGATGCTAGTCCTTGTGGAAAAGAATGGGAACTGTTGAGCGAACTCTCTTTATCTAATTTATTTAGGTAACATGGCGAGTCAATATTTCGTATGTTATGAAACCTGATTTCATTTTTGTTTTCAGTATGAGCTAAGCAAATTCTGCCCATACAATACCGTCTTGATTGATCATAGTGATCCATCAATAAATACAGGTGGGTTTCTCATACATGGTTTATCTTCCCTATGTTCTTTTATCCGATAACTTGTTATGACCCTGTCCATGTTTACTACTATAAAAAATGCTTTGCATGGAAATTTTGTTTTGGTTCACTTTTCTGTTTTGGTGCAGTGCTGACGGCACCCACTGATAAGCCTGGAGTGGCTTTGCTTGATTTTGTCATTTTCCCTCCTCGGTGGTTGGTTGCTGAACATACATTTCGTCCTCCATATTATCATCGCAACTGTATGAGTGAATTCATGGGTCTAATTTATGGAGGATATGAGGTACAATTTATGTAATGAAAATTTCATATTCAGGCCTTGTGACATTAGAAATCAGATATATTTCACTGCCTTTTTGCCCTTTCATTATATTTTATAAACATGCAATCCTCTTTTCAGGCAAAAGCTGATGGGTTTGTTCCAGGAGGCGCAAGCCTTCATAGCTGCATGACTCCCCATGGTCCAGATACTAAAACATACGAGGTAATATACCTGCTTGCAGCTCAAAAAGAAATTCAATCACTTTTTGGTATGTTTGTGTCTTTTTACTTCCATAACTATGCCTTTTCCGAGTTGTTTTATGAACTCGAACTGTTTAAATTCTTTGATGATGTACTTCTGTTACTTCTATATATAGACCTTTTCTTAATTATTTTATACAGACGACAATTGCACTTGGAAATGAAGCAGGGCCTTGTAGAATTGCTAATACTCTTGCCTTCATGTTCGAGTCATGTCTGGTTCCTCGAGTCTGCCGATGGGCACTTGAATCTACCTACATGGATCATGATTATTACCAATGTTGGATTGGTCTGAAGTCCCATTTCACATGTGAACTTGGAAAGGAACAAAACCAAGACTTACAGAACGGGCTCGAAGAGAAGAAATGAAAGGCGTTTGTACCCGAGATGGTGTCAGAGTAAGAAGGTTGTATCAACATGTTCCTCAAGTTGAGAGTCTAGCTTGTACATAGTAAAAGATTGTATATAGATGTTGAGCAATATATGATTGGCATGCCTTTTTGTTCAAGGTGCAAATTGGATAAGATTGTATATAAGATTGTTGGATTCTAATAAACATAGGTACTTCCATATTGGACATTGAGATATTCTCTTTAGTCTTAAAATTGAAAATGCTGTTTGTACAAATTGGGGATCATTCGAAGTGATGTGGAGTGAAATGATAATGTTTAATTGGTTGGGTGAAATGATAAGGTCATTTAAATTTTTTATAAAATTGTGTTGTACCATGAGGATTATTATTGGATTGCACATAGAGCATTGCTTTCTAAAATTGTATATATTCTTTTATGGGTGTTAAACATTTTATTAGTGTGATTGTCATGTTCTCAATGTTTTATCATTATGTGTGGTATCCTCACTAAAGAAAAATGTCTATTTAGACGGTAAATATTATTTAATACTAGATGTTTGATTAAAAGAGTAAAAGAATCTAAAGAAAAGTAACGTTTATTCATTGATGTAATTAAAATTTCAATAAAAGTTGAATGATTGCAAATGAAATTTATACCTTTTAAAACATTGTACAAATTCGCATTTCGATCATGTGAGTTCTTAAAGTTTACAAAGACTCATTTTTGTTTTCTATAATATCAATTTTAAATTATTATTAGCTAGTATTTTCATTTTGTCACTTAAAGAAGAACTAACTTTCTTTGAAGTATAATGCCCGTAAAGAAAGAATCGTAATAAATACAAAGAAGTGGCTTTTTTATCCAATAGTAACGAGTTTGAACCAATATTTTCAGATAGATTGAGGTCATGTAAAATGACGCAACATAGAAAAATGGTGGTGGATTCTATTAATTGAGTTTTACCCATTGTATTTTGTTAATTTTTTGAGAAGCAAAATCGCGGAAGGTGAGTTTTAGAAATGCATAATTAAAAA